GACCCTTGCTACCTGCTAATACCTGGTCCAGCGTGCACCCAGCACGTTTCAAACCGATCGGCGGAGTGGCGCGAAGGATCTGCCTTCCCCCACTCTCGACCGCTTGCGGCCACCTATCTCTATATCACCTTACGGTGAGTGGGTTGTTCTACAAATTCTGAAAAGGGGCTGAGCGAGGCCTGGTCGGAACCCGGGGTCACATTGAAGTGCGACACGGCGGATAAGGAACCATCCATACAGTACGTCCGATTTTTCTAAGATTCGTTTAGCGAAAAATGGGAAATGAGCGCCTGCGAGGCTCAAGGTAGGCCAGCCCGCAGAACACACATGCACTACATACGAGAAGTTGCCTACCCACTAGGCGCTCCGAGAGGTGGCACAGGCTGAACTTGGCAGTTTTGGAACAGCGAATCACGGACGTACTTTGTGGGTGATCCCTAAATTGCCCGGCTTAGTGCCTGACGACGCGACGCTTTCAGGTGTCCTCTCGCCAAGACGAGGTGATCCAGGCTCTTGACGGAGTCCTCCGCGGGCCCGGGCGCGAGTCGGTGCTGCTGGTGGCCGTGGAAATGTCCTCGCCGAGCAGACGCGTCGCTGCGGCCTGCGCGGCCCGGAGGCGCGCGGGCGGCCGCTCCAGCCTGGTCGCCCTCGGGGTGACCGAGCCCCACCTGCGCGTACTCGCCCTGGACAACGCCTTTGCCGACCCCCAGCCCGTCCTGCACGTCAACCTGGTGCGCGGCGACCTCCACGAGGCCAGTGAGTTCACAGCACAACACCGCACTCTGGGAGTCGGGTACATCCGAGCAGACGCCGCAGTTGAGCGGAATTGCATACTCTACTCGGCGGCAGGCGCCATTGCGCGCTCCCGGAAGGGGAAGTAGGCAAACCCGTAGCACTGTGGCGGCTGCTGCCCGGTACTTCGGCTAGTGGAGAAAGAAGAATAGAAGGGAAAACGTAGTTGTCCCCTATTGTCTTGCCGCCCTGCGGTCGCACGGGCCGTGCGTGGGGCTGAAACTTTCCGCGAAACGGGGCACCTGAGATTGATTTCGCTGCATCCGCGAGAGAGGGAGGGGACGGCGGTGCAAAAGTTTTGCACGCGCAGCTTGGGGAGAGGGGGAGTCACTGCTGCGAGGCAGAACATTGATCTGCTGCATAGATGTTCTCTCCCCCTCCCCCTCCCCTGCCAGGTGGGCGGCACGGGAAAGGAGTTGCAGCTTTGCAGCTCAAGAGTGAGAGAGAGGGTGCTGCATTGTGGGGCACTACCCACTGAGCAATGCAGTATCGGACCGATATCGAAACGACGTCAGATATCAGAAACTTATCGGTTTTTGCATTAGATTGATAAAAATTTGGTCCTGAAATTGACAAGTTTCTGATAACTTATATCGTTCTGACATCAGTCTGACATTTTCATTATTCACTGGGGGGGCTATGACCCGACACCTGCTTAAGCTTTTCCTCCCGTACACCGTGGCTGTGTAGAAGTAAGCCTGCAGGCTGTTCAGCTTCCTTTGATCATTGACTTGAGTGTCGACTGTTTCCCACAGCGCTCAAGGATCAGCTAGGAGAGCTGCTGCCGCAGTCCCAGGCCGCCCTCGTGGCCCTGGCCAACAGCACGTCCCCGTACACACGCACCGTGCCGTTGCCCTCCTCCTTCGGTGGCCCCAAAGCCAAGTCGCACGAGGTGCCACCTGTCTTCCTGGTAGGTGGCCTCGCGGACTCGCCCGTCGAGCAGATGAAGCCCCTCGCGAGGCTGCTGATGGCCAACGCCGTGTTGCTGGTGCCTGGAGCCGAGGACGCCGACGTCCCCTCGATGGCCGCTAGCATGGTGAAGGAGATCCTCGCGCACCAGGCCACCGGCCCGTATACCGTGGTGGCTCGCGGTTGGGCGGGCTGCGTGGGTCTGGAGATGGCCCGCCTGCTGGAGCAGAGGGGGGCACGGGTGGCGCTCATGCTGCTGGACTGCGCGCCCCGGGACCTGCAGGCCGCCGTGCAGGGGCTGGAGCGGGGCGGACAGAGACATGCTGGTACACTGCAGGCGTGGCTGCTCTGCAGCCTCCTCCACATGGCTCCCTCGGTGAGTCCAGCTCCCCGCCACCTCCGAGCCTCTCGTGGCCTCCGGGGACTTAATGACCACTGCCCTTGTTTTCGCAGACCTACGACGTGATCGAGGCGCTGCCGTCCTGGCCTGCCCGTCTAGAACACGCCCTCGATGTGACGATGGGATCCTCGCCACAGCGCGCCGCGGTCGCCAAGGCCCTTGACCTGGTGTTCGTCCGCCTGCGCGCGCTTGCAAACTATAGCACCGACTTTAAGCTAAAGCAGACCGTGGTCACACTGCTGAGGCCGACCGGTGCCGAGCCGGACGACTACCGCGGCTTGGACAAGGTCGAACATTCACACGAGACCACTTGGGGCACCTGCAAAAGCGATCCTGGCTGACCGTATCTGTACTTTTCGTAGGTGAGCGAGCTCAACGTGATGGTCGAGGTGGTGGACAGCGCGCTCGGCACCGCCGACTACTGGAGGGCCGCCGCCAGGATCGTCAGCAGCGGATTGTACGTCGGCTCCAAGCCCATGCACCAACTCGTCATCGGCAAGCAGGTCTGCAGCGATAACCTGTGGTCGCGCCTGCGGTAGGCGAATGTCACCACAGCCCTTTAGTGTGCTGCGTGGAGCGGCGCGGCCGTGGGCCGAGGGAGAACTCCTGCTGCAACCTGCAAGGAATTAGGTACTTTATTAGTTGTTCGAATAATGTATTGATGAAATCTGTAAGACTTTCGAGTGGATAAATAAATTTAATCAAAACCAATAACAAACAAACTTTAATCAGCTCCAATTGGCTAAAACACATGCCGGACAGAGAGAAAGTTGAAAAGTTCCGAGGGGCAGCAGTTTGCTACCGGGAAGTACATGGTTACACAATGGCCACCACAACAACAAAAATACCAGTTTTTATGTGGTTGAAGCCCATCAAATTAGAAAAACTTGCTAGAAGAAGAAATCAGAAAAAAGTACCACTTACTTTTCTCCACAAACAGTTCAGTGTTAACCAGAATCTTGTTCTTTTGATCGGGTCGGTCTGGTCAGGTCAGGTAGGATGTGGAGGTGTAGCGATTTGGCGCGGTGATTCAAACAACGCAAACGGCAGCCACATAAATTCACCCTTTCACCCTCGAGGGGGAGGGGGGGTAGAGGGAAGGCGAGAACATTTAATGTTTCCATTGAACCAAATGAGTCCAATATAACTCTATCCAATATAAAATATTTATTGACAGAGCCAAAAGTATCGAAAGTAAAATCATAAAAAGTGGAGGGGGGAGGGGCTCACCGCCTTCTGTAAATTTGCAATGAATAGTGTGCTTCAGGAGTCTGGCATATGACAGGGTTGGCGGACCCCTCCCGATAGATGGGTAGATGGAGGATCCGCTGCGGCGCGGCCTGGCGGCCTCCTCACTCTTCCAAGTCTCGTAATACATACAGCTAACCGAGCACTCAAATTTTATTTCATGAATTTGTTTGGCATTTTTGCTGCATGTTTTCAACTGCAAAGGATATTCCAATGTCAAGGGATTATTTGTGCACAATGTATATTTGTTGCCAATCCAAATAAATATGGGCTGGGAAGATCAAAATCAAAGTGTTGATGCTGATCTTTGCTTGTCTTGAAAAAATGAAATACAAGAAGTGCTACTGTGTATAAGATTTAAATATCTAAATCTGCTCCCGAGTTACTGGTTAGTTGCATTTAACTCACCACTTTTCATAACATGATAGCGTAACTAATTTGCAACTCTACTTTCATTGCTCAGAAGAGTATTTTTTAGTTTTGAACAAGACATATTCATTCAGCTTGGCATTTCATTTTACGTTCCTTGTTGTCATACATCAATAAAATAACTCTGTCAAGAGTCGAACCAATACATGGTACATTCTATAACTCTAACTTTTAACGGATAACTTTTACTCATAAGAAGTTTTTTTCTTTGTCGCAAAGGGTAAGCAATGTCATATGACTCATAGAGCTCATAAGCTTGATCCTGAACATGGACATAGAGAGGAAAATTTCAATGTTTTTAAAAGATAGAGCAGGGAAACGGAAAATATATACATTAAATAAACCATTTTCCAAAATATTACACATTGCACACAATGGGTGAGAAGAACAGAGGTGCAGTAATTAATTATTTAAAAGGCACAATCTGACACGTAACTTTCGGAACTAAAGCTCATGACGGTAAGCAATAGTATTACAAATATAAATCTCGTACATCTTTTATGTTTATTAAATTAACTTCGTTCCAAAAATGTTCTATGTTCCTTGAAAAAAAAATGTTTACAAATAAATTTGTGGTGTTTTTGGTTTTTAAAGTCTCATCTATACAGATGTTTTTGTTTTACTACCGGTGCCTATGTATTTATTTGGAAGATTCGCCGATCCTGAAATATCCTTAGCAAATATAGACTTTTCTTATAAATGCCGAACACATCCATTAAATAAAACTTGAGACTTGTTGAGTGGTAGCTTTAGCTTTTGGCTTGGACTTTGGCGCTCAGAGCAGCAGCGGTGGCGGGCGGCGGGACCCTCCATCTACCCATCTATCGGGAGGGGTCCGCCAACCCTGTCATATGCCAGACTCGTGCTTCAGATGACGGGTTGCTGCAGACCTACCTAATCCAGAAGGCTGTGGAATTAGCCGCTCGGGGGTTTGGTCGTGGAGGTATTGTTATGCTTTCTAAAATTTTAACTTTTTGACATTGGAAAAATTTTCCATGCAACCCATAAAGTTAGAAAAGTGGCTGTTAAATGATCAAAGTTCTGCGTCTTCTAAATTTACTCGTTTGGTTCCACCTCTTTCGCTGTTTTAACATGAGCAGCAACTAATCGGCATTCAGCGAACAGCCTCAAAAAAGAACTTTCTCCCAAGTAAGGTTTGTTGTGTAGGTAACCAATTGTTCATTGCGCGAGGAGAGGAACATAACACAAAATATGTTGACGTTTCGCACTCCAAATTCTTAAGGTACAGGCTCTCATTTTTGGCGTGTAATATTTCATTTCGTAGAATGCGGCTCCTCCAGTTGCTTGACGCCTTCCCGACCGCAATAATTAGAGTTGTGCATGAATTGTTGGCATTTTGATTTGTAAAATTTTATTTTATTTTGCTTGTTATTTTGTTGAGTCTGCAGCCCCTTTGAGGCCAGAATACGTCTTGAACGTGAATTGTTGAGAAAATCTCAAGTTAGACCTGAATGTTGTCTCATGGTTATGAATTAATCAAATTCTAATTAAATTCAATCTTTCAATCTTTTTTTTTTCTTGTAAATCAAAAACATTTGAAGTTGTTTTTAGCATAGTGTGTTTGTGTATTTGTTGCTCTCTGTATGTGTTTTCAATTTTTTATTTTTAGTGAAATTAATGGAAATGAATGAATGGTGATATGTTTTTTTCTATGACTTGTCAGGATGGAACCCTTTGAGGGCCAACCAGAAGATGTGCTTATTGGGAAACAGGAACATCTTGAAAATAGCTCGAACGGTACACTAAATGATGATAATGTAGACGGCTTAGACCAAAGTAATCCAAATTTGTTGGATTCAAACAATCATGACGACGATGGATCTATGTTACCCACAGACTGTCTCAATGGAGAAGTGGAAGCACCTGCATTGGATGGAATGGGTTTGTTCACTGTTGTTTTCTTTGTTTTTTTAAATTTTAAATTCGGTGAGTATAATGTCAATAAATGGGATTAATTTGCAGACCAAGATGCTCCAGGAAGTCCAACAACTGGAGTGGATGTTCCGGGTGTTAATACATGGTCAAACATAAAATGTGTTTATTGTGAAACGGTTTTAACTCTGAATGACCAACCTAGACTTTTAGAGTGTTTACACACATCATGCATGTCATGTATAACATCGAAGATAAATGAACCTAACCAAGATACTGGAGATGTTGTTGGTGAGTGCTCTTGTGGCCCTTTTCTAAATTTACACATTTTAACTATGACATCTGAGACTAAAAGTTCTAAAAAATCTCACTTAAGTTATACTTTTTACTTTAACGTAATTTAATTTCTTTTTCACAGTGGAAGTCAATAGTATTGGTTGCCCTGAATGTTCTGTCACCAGCATTATCAATGGCATCATTGACAATCAGTTTTTGCTGGAATTGTGTATGGAGAGTGAAATGGGAGCCAATCCTGACTTAAACAAGTCTCTCTCAGACTTGAAATGTTCAAGCTGTCAAGATAGTGCACCAGCTACTAGCTGGTGTGTTGATTGTGCTGAGTTCATTTGCGATGATTGTGTTCAGGTACCTACTTGATTTATTCTTTCAAAACATCTACCACTTTAGTATTAAGTAGAATTAAGTTTCATGTAACTTACTTGTCTCAGGCCCATCAAAGATTAAAGATAACAAAAGATCACTCAATAAAACCAAAGGAAGAGGGTGATTTAGAGAACCATACATTAGCAAGCACAGCGACTTCAAAAAATTTCTATTGTAACATTCATCCACAGGTAACCCCCTTGCTCCCTCTTCATATTTACAACATGTATAAATTTTTTATTTTTGTTTGTCTAATTTGTTGGTATTTTGTCCTAATTTATTCCTATCAGGAACAACTTACTTTATTTTGTGAAACCTGCGATAGACTGACATGCCGAGATTGTCAGTTGACTGAACATCGAGACCATAAATATAAGTTCAGTCATGAAATTGCCTCAGAGTCCAGAGGGATGATTAACAATTTGTTATCTGAAGTGAGGTGAGGATCATCATGCACTAGAACTACCAATAGTTTACACGTCACAGTAATGAAATAAATCCTAATTTTAACTTCTGCAACAAAATTGTAACATTTTCCAAATTCTTCCAGCTACAAGAGAGTTCTCTTAAAGAGTGCTACCAAGGTCATTGAAGATAGGCAAGTACTGATTGTCGAGAAAAAGAAAGCACTTCTTCAAGAAATAACTCAAATGGTTTATCGGTATGTTTCTGGTGATTTTAAAAAGCTTTGTGTTTCTCTGAGTATGTGGTACTAAATACTTAATTATTACAGTCTAACAAATGCTATCAACCAAAGGGGAAAACAATTAGTAGTTCGTCTTAATGAGGTTTGTGATGCCAAACAGAAGACGTTGACAGAGAAAAAAATGGCATTGGAACAATTATCTTTAGTGACAGACCACTGCATTGACTTTGTCACAAACGCTGTTAATAAGGGTAGTGACATGGCTCTTCTCTTTAGTAAAAGGTAATTACCACACTAATTGTGAAAGTTCTTGTTATTCTGTGCGACTCAATTCATTACCCTATGATATGCCAAGTGAGCGTGACCTTTGCAGTAGTTTTGAATCACGTGATGTATTAATATCTATATATGATTGTCATTTGCAGACAAATTACTCAGCATCTCCAGAGAATCAAAAGCAAAAGGGCAGATATTCCAAACCCAGAAATTCCTGTCAGGATACACTTAGCGACTGACAAAGTTCCTGACTTAATAAGAGGTAAAAAATTTATTTGTGTTTCTCCAATGTCAATGTATTTTATTTTATTTTATCTTGAAAGGCTAATATTCTAATTTACTTTACAGTGCTCTCCTCTATCGGCAATATTGTTGTGGACGGACGAGTCTATCCGTCGCAACACAACAACAACAACACTAGTAATCAATCTGGGTCCAACAGTGCTGGGCCTGTATCCAACGCCCCATCCGCTTCCGCCACCTCCCCTGCCACTATCACTCAACCCCAGCAACACCATCAACCACCATCACTGCACGGACAACCAACTGCTAACCAAGCAGGTTACTCAACTGTGCCGTCGTATTTTCCCCCGGGCTCCTCCCTGGTGAGTTTCTTCTACAGAGCACTGGCTGTTTAGAAATAGCAATTTCGTACACATTAAAGAAAATCAAATCTTAATTCTGAAATGAGGTTGCCTGAAATTAGAACAAACCAATAATTCCTCAGCAACTTTTTTTCTATAAATCAATGTATTGCATTTCAGCGGCAGTCAACATCCATGGGAGCCGCGGGGCCGCCGAGAGCCGCAACGCCGCCGCAAACCCAACACCTTCAGAGCTTGCAGTCCTTACCAGCACAGGTGGCTCGGAACTTGAACATGCTGCGACATTCACCTCACAACCCTCAAGGCCTTGGCCTCATGCGAACACATCACCAGCAGGTGACGTCTTCTACACACCCTATAGCGGACGGGCGCAATGTAACCCTGCAGGCAATGCTGAACCCCAGGGCTGCACCACCTGGTGGCCCAACTCCTCCTCTTGTTCAAGCCCCTCACCAGGGCCAAGGCCGAGCTACTCTGGCAATGGGACCTGTGGGCCATCCGGTATGTTCCGCTCGCCTTTCAGACAGCTTGTTTGAGCCGTGGTTTAATTTATCATTCCTATTTTTTTTTTTAACTCATTGAGGAGGAAAGTTGATGAAGTGATTTTGTTGTTGTTTAGGCGCAGCACCCTTCCGGGATGCCCCATACTCAACGACGCTACCAGGACCCCATCGTGGCCCAACAGCAGGCGGCGGCGCAGCACCACTACCAGAGAGAATACATGCGACAGCAGCAGCAGCATCAGCAGCAGCAGCAGCATCAGCAGCAGCAGCAGCAGCACAATTTGGTTAGAGATGCAGATGATTTAAACTAATTTAATAACAGTTATCTAATTGTATCTTCAAAATATTACAACATAATAAGACTCGCTCGCCTACCGTAACATATTCATGTATTTCGTTTTTTTTTTCAAATTTAGTATGGAACGTACCACCCTGGCCCGGGGACAGCTGGCTCGGCAATGTGGCCGGGGCAAACGGGTCAGCGTGGAGGTCATCAGACTCAGGGCGTGCAACAGCAGGGTCCGCACCCCCCATCCCAGGCCACGGCCCAGGTTCAGGCCCAGGCCCAGGCCCAGGCTCAGGCCCAGGCGCAGGCCCAGGCTCAAGCGCAGGCCCAGGCCCAGGCCTTACACCAATGGCATATTCCTCAGCACGGGGTCAGCCAGCTCGGCAATCTTGGTCGCTCTGGCCAGGGCCCGAACCACCAGGACAACAATTCTTACAAAATTACCCTCAAGACCCAGGTCGGTGCAATAGGGCATTAGATTGGTTAATTTTAATTTGAAATTAGGATGAGGGTACACACATGTTGAAGTAGGTATATAAGTAGGTACTATATGCTATGTGATACACCTCCTAGGTGTCACCTCTGCAGCAGCAGCCGCAGGCATCTTCGCCAGGCGTACCAGGAGCCTCGATCAGCGTTGGCCCAGTGCCTGGGGCCATCCCCATTAATAAGCAATCTTTGACAGTACGTTTCTTAAGCTTTTTCCCATCTGCGCTTTTTATCTCTGTGTGCGCATGTGTTCCTGATGAGTTCACGATTTTGCATGTTTAGAGTATATCTGTTACGAGAGAAGAATCCCGCACACCTCGTCTAAATGACCGGAGCTCCTCCTCCAGTATCAGCTCCAACCACAGTAATGGAGAGCGCAGCATTAGCAGGCAGTCATCCACAAGCTATATGGTGTCATCTTCAGCACCAAAAACTCCAAGTCCAAGCTTAAATAAACCTGAAGATGCAGAAAGAAGCTTGGACAAATATTGCGAAGTTGGTGTTTTCTTTGGTTATTTCTAGCCTTAATAGTTTCAGCTATGAATTGATCTTAACCAAATTTATGAAATACTTTCAGGAATCTGTTAATGATTTGATGGCAACCATAGCCAAGCTGGACAGCAATGGTATTGTAGTAATTCCAGAGCCTCAACCGCCTGCACCAATGCAATTGACTCAGGCTGGTGATAGCCCACAAGTGGATTCATCTACTGGTGACACCAGGCATCAAGGTATGCTTTCTGACCCCTGTAAATTATAAAGTTATTACCATGCTGGTGTGTGTAACAATTTTGGAACTTACAAAGTAGCATTGACTGTATATGTTTGATTGGTTTGCATAAATTTAATTGTATGTCTTGTCTTACAGTGGTTGAAAAACAAGAAGAGGTTGAGCCTGCTAAAGATGATCCAAATGAGGATTGGTGCGCAGTGTGTATGGATGGTGGGGAATTAGTTTGTTGTGATAAGTGCCCCAAAGTTTTTCATATGCACTGTCACATTCCCACACTTGAAGCTCTGCCTGAGTAAGCTTCCCTTTACTTTGTGTCCCTTTTCTTTTCTTTCTTCAGTCTCAACATAAGATTTCTTTGAACTAATAGTACTGTTTTACTTTTTTATCTAGAGATACATGGCAGTGTTTACTTTGCACTGACATAAATGAAGTTGTAAGTCATTTCCAAGATGGAAAAACCCAGGGAACTTTAAGCTCAAATGAACTAAAGCTTGCGCGTCGGCTTGTTCTTGAGCTATACTGCCAATATGAACCTAGTTTGCAATTCCGAGATATTGGCTCTGGCACTGAGGTATGGTTTTAGAAAATTAACACTTTTTTTTATGACTCTTTGGGTTCACTTTGTTAAATTTTTAGTTAAAATTAAAATTTTGGTAATAATACCCCTTTTGTTATCTTAGGCAACATCATATAACGACCAAATAGACAATCCAATGTGTCTTGAAACTGTCCGTAGCAAACTTAGCCCTGATCATTCAGAGCATTATTCTGATTTAACTGAAGTTATACGTGATATTCGCCTAATATTTAAGAATGCTTTTGCCAACAGCAGTGTAAGTAATAATTATTACCTCTACCCCTAGATACATTAACATTATATGTATATACAAACTTTAACATACATGAAACCTCTCTTTTAGAATGACAGCCAAGTGTATGGTGATGCAAAAACCTTAGAAGAGTTCTTTGAACATCTTCTGACCAAGTGGCTTCCAAACTTTGATTTTTCCAAATCTAATGGTGATTCTGAAGAGGAAGCAATGATTGATGATATTAAACAGAGTAATGATAGTGATCAAATACCCCCTGCAAAGAGACTCAAAAGAGGTGTGGTCGACTGATGTTACGCTACTGGGGATGTGTTAGCGGAGTCTGTTAACATATTTCCAGCTGGCAACAACTATAATATAAAAATTTCTACTGTTGTGACATTTCTCCAAGAGAAAAAGATTTAGAGATATATCTCAAATTAAATAGGTTGGTACATCTAAACACTATCCATCTGATAATATTGTCTGATGTGTTTTGAGTTTCTGAATGCTACTCATTGGTAGTCTTCTTGATGCCTTATGTCAAAAACTGTTGAAAGCAACATGTAAGGAATATTCAGTATTTCAAGCATCTATTAATGATATTCAGAAAAAAAGTACAGCTTTTGTTTGTTCCTATTTCGTAATAGTATACACTCATCAGATTATTTTTGTATGAATGAGGATTGAATTGTACTTACATACCCTGGTGTATTTATAAAACTATTTTTCTCCTGCATGGTTTGTTCTATCAAAAATCATGTCAATTCTCATTTAATTACATCAACAACTGCCTCTCATTGTATCATAATAAATCTTTGAAATGTTCTCCCATTTTAATCTAAATTTTACTTTGGATTTTTGGACCTCTAATTAAGTAATTAAGGATTGGTTTTGAAGATGCTGGTGTTGGTGTTCTGAGTCATGCTTGTCTTTAAAGCTGTTGTGTGTTCAAAGTGAGTATGGCAATCTGTGTTTGATCTCATGCTGTGTAATGAAGCATGAAGAATACTGTGATACTTTGAATAATTATACAATTAATCTGTACATGATTGTGGAAAACTCGGTTGTCATCCTAAGGCTTGAGAAACGATGTTTGTTTTATTTTTTAATTAGCATTAAAGTATCTCTTCTAACAACATTTTTGAATTATTCAAAGTTGGAACCAGATTTCACTTCTGTAATATTTTCTGTCTGTGAAATGAAAACATTTCTTCCCCGTTGCCTTTAATAGATTATAAACCATGACTTCATCATCTTCTGAAAATCATAATCACAAATCACTGTCAGTGCTGTGTCATAAAGTACTGCTCTCATTCTCTCTAGTGTGTCAGATAGTTCATCAGTATTTTTCGATCGAAACAGATGGAAAATTGTCGCCTATGATCAAACCTGCCTATTTTCCACAGTTTTTGAATCTTTTTATCTACTTTCATTGTTTTGAATCTGAAACCTTTCTCCAGTTTGTTTAACCAGCGTAGTCTTGCCTGCATACTTTATCTAAGAAAGATTAGAATTTAAGTTGTATTGATCCTCTAGAAAACTGTTGTTACCTATGTGCAATTAATTGGCACTTGTGCATAATAATCATTGATTGAATATTTAATTTTTGTGTGCATTTAGTAATCACTTGCATAAAAAATAAGTCTACTTTCTACAGAATTTGCTGTAATTCTGTGTTCTGAAGAACATATGCAATATTTACCTCATGGCAGGAAGTCCTAAATTTAGGGAAGATGATGATATTCTATTTCATGTCCCTCATTCTTAAATTGACCTATGTTTTGGTCTTGAACAATCTGTAAATGTTGTGAAAATGTGTAATTTGTTTTAAGGGGTATGGTGATTAGACAAAATGAAACACAGTATTTGTCATATCATGTTATGATGTTGCTAGCTGGAAACTGGGCTTTATTTTCTTTTTTTGCAAGCTAGCCTGCGGTAATTTTCTTCAAGGACATTAGTTTTGTGTAACTAGCGAAACTGTAGCTCGTTGTTATGATATGTTTAGTTATATTTAACATTGTGGAAGCCACTTTGATTTTGTTACTTTGTTGATAGTGTGATGTGCTAGTACTTAGCATTCTTATAAATATTGTACATAGTTTGGTTTTAAGAAAGATATTTCCTAGTGACTTTTCTTGTTATGTTCAGACTACTGTATTTTTTTTTTTTTAAAGTGAAGAAATGTTATATAATTATTGTTTTACAAATTTAAGAAACAGTGACCTTCTCATGAATCATTTAAAATATCCACTAAGAAATTTCCCCTCTCAAATAATCTTCCTCCTTTCAGATCTTGACTTATGTTCTTTAAACATATGATAAAATGTTTGAAAGCTGGATGACATCCAAGATCTTGTGCCAAACTGGTACCTGCAAAATATTGTTACAGCACCCACTGTTGGGTGTCCACAAAATACGCTTCCGTTTATTTAAAATCCTTAAGACTGAAATATATCTTAACCTCTAGCAGAAAAGCTACTGTGTCTTCTTGTAACTTAATTTGCGTTAGGTCAAAACTCCTTTATTTTTAAGTCCCAAAAGATATTGTAGATCTAAGTCACAACTTCGGTTTTTCATGAAGTGAAGATTACAAAATTGGGGGACAGGGGCGGAACGGAGGGGAGGGAGGAGGGGGGGGGGGAGGGCCAGCTCAGCTTCACGCCACCCACGGACGGCAAGCCGCCCCGAACCCGAAAGTTTTGACAACACTGGGTGCCTCCCACCCACTTAGTTTTGCCCCAGCGGCTATCCCTGAAAATGCCCGAGAGGCCAGGAAAGCCGGCTGTGAATGGTGACAGCTGTGTTCCTTCGACTAACGAAAGTACTAACGAAATCGTCAACCAAGTGCGTCTTCAAGAGGATCTGTCGCTGACTGACCACCTCAACAGAAGATTATTGACGTCATTCCTGACAAGAATTAACAGCAGTGGTGTCCAAGATTCGCAGCCAAACTGTACCCAGCCGTCCGACTCTTCAAGCAGCCAAGCAGATCAAGACGATTTTGCTGCTTGACAAATTTCTATCTTTTTCTTTACTGGAACCTCTAAAGTATAACCTCTAAAGAAATACTATCGGCCATGGCGTCCATCGATATTCGCATTGACATTACGTTGGCGGACAACCTTATACATTTATGTTATTATTCTTTATTGTTTCTTGTGCGAAACTTCTTTAACTTTCGTAGATTAATGTTGTACTGAAATGGATCATAACAATGTCCATCAATATTTTGTAGTTGGCCACCCCTGTTCGCCTGCAAACTTGCAACAGGCGGTTTCCCGCCAAATTTGTTCGGCTGCCGTTCGCGATCTCTTGTAAAATTTTGTGTTTATTTTGGGAACCTTTGCTCATCTAACACATGTTATGTGTCTGACCATATTTTATATCGCCCTTCATCATATAAAAGAGAAAACAGTTTAAATAAATATTTTTACTGCGTCATGCATTTGTTTGTATCGTTTAATTGAAGTTTTCTATCTCGACATAACCTTACTGCACGCATTGCAATGGCATACACAGTGGATGACTTGTTTGGAAGAGACAGTCTGTTGGGTGATCCCAATGACCTGGACAACTTGGTAGAGTTTGGAGATGCAGGAAATCATTCGGATAACGAGGTGCAGGGAGGTGATGCAGGTAATTTTTTAGAGAGATCAGTTCAGTGCTGTGGTTCGCAATATCTGCTAACTGATATTTTATTTTAACTGATATGACTTTACATTTACAGGTGGGGATGACGACAATGAAGATAATGAGGGTAACAAGGATAGTGATAAAAAACCTGATGAGAAAAAGGTTATACGAATTAAGCGACCTCAACCCAAGCTAGATGCTGAAAGGTATGTCACAAGCATATATTTCCATAGTAAACATCACAATTACCCCAACTTTATTCACTAAACTAAAATCTATCTATTAAAATTAATTTGCTTTTTTACCATCTAAGGTTAAAAGGACCACGGGGCTTGCTGCAACTGAAAAAATCTTTTGCTGACATCAAATTTAAAGGCAAGAATCATGAAGCTGAAGACCTGCAGAGGGTCATGGCAAGACTTGAGCACTGGTCTCATCGTTTGTTCCCCAAATTTCAATTTGATGACTTCATTGAAAAAGTGGAGAAGTTGGGCTCTAAAAAAGTGGTGCAGGTACAATACAATTTCTCTTTCTCCATTGAGAAAAATATCCCGATAGTTGTTGCAAGAATTCTTTCTGTCCAAAATTAGAATTACGTCAAAAGACTGCGTATGGGGCTCGAAGATGACGACGATGGTGTAGTAAGGGGTGATAATGAAGAAGCTGTGGATAACCCAGACCCGGTGGCAGATGACACAATGGGAGAGTTTGACCGTCTTTTGGCAGAACAAGTCTCGCTTCATGAAAACAGCTTGTTGGTGTCATCTCCGAGAACCCCTGGTGCTCCTGGCGCCCCAAGGACTCCATCGATAGCGCCCCTACGGCCGCAAGCTGTGTCATCTACTCCTGCTCAACCGGTATGTACCGTGACCAATTGCCCATCATATTCTTATGCACAAGCAAACCCTGAAGACATACGACTTGACAAATTGTGTGCCGAAGGTCCCTTTGATATTCTGAAGGGAGCATGAGCATTTTGTGATCACGCCGCTCACGTATTTTCCAGTACCGTTTTCCGACTCGACACCTGTAAGTTCAGTACCTTCCCTTTGAGAGGTGTAGGAGTTGAACCCAGAGCCTGAACGGTATCGAACACCATGCATGCAACGCACAAGACAAGCGACCTGTTCTTGTTAAGGTGGATTTAGTCTCGTGAAGACTGAAGACGCATAGTTGTGAATTGTTTTGCTGCAAATGGGCCAAAATTACGACTATTTGCACCAAAAACAGTTGACAACTACGCGTCTTCAGTCTTCACGAGACTAAAGGGATCATCCAGATAGCACGTCCGTCATTCGCCGCTACGAACGAACCTGCCAAGTTCAGGTTCTGCAAGCTCGCACAGCGCCTGTAGATAGGCAAAATCTTGTCCGCAGTGCATGCGTGTTCTGCGGGCTGGCCTACCCCGAGTCTCGCAGGCGCCAAGTAGCCATTACTTGCCAAATGAATCTTAGTGAAACGGACGCACTTTCTGGACAATCCACCTTTATAGTTTTGACTGTGCGGGGCGGCCGCCGCCGTTTGCCCACCTCGTTGCCTGTGCAGCCTCCGGCCCGGGGGCAGGCGGGGGGGG